ACGCGCAGCAGGGCGCCCCGCCGCCGCCACCCCACCATCTGGGGGCCGGCGGCGGTGGCGGCGGCGGTGGCTACATGCCGCACGCGCCGCCGCCGCCCCCGCAGCAGCAGCAGCCAGGCTTCCCGCCGCAGCCCGGGCCCGGGCCGTACGGCGGCGGCGGCGGCGGCTACCCCCCGCCCCAGCGGCCGCCCTACCCGCCGCAGCAGCAGCAGCAGCAGCCGGCCTACGGCTACCAGCAGCGCTACTGACGCCCCCGCAGAGCGCGCCTTCGCGCCGCGCGGGGCCGCCCCCGTGCTCCAGGTTGACTCTCTCTCCCACGCACGTGCTTTGCTTGCGCCGGAGCGCGCCCCGCCCCGCCAAAGGGCCAGGATCAAGCTGTTCCCCTTCCTCGCGTTTTTTTTTTGCGTTCTGACAGCCCCGCCTGGCGCCCGCCCGGCACTGGCGGCTTGCTGCACCACCAAGCCATTGGTAACCTCCCTTGGGGCGTGGCGCTCCTGCGGCGCTCGAGGCCTGGGCCCAGCTCGCCGCCGATTTTGACGCATGCTTGGTGTGTTTCCCGCTTGTGTCCGCTTTTGTCGCCCCTGTTGTTTTCCCCACACCGGACTGGCGTGGCACAGTAAACTGCAAACGCCGTCTCGGGGGTCAAGCAAAGCAGTGATGATAGGGCGGCGTGATGCGCGGCTGGCACCAGGGGCGAGGCGTGGAGGCGGGTGCTTGCTCGCTTGAGGGGGCATCAAGGAAGCCTGCACCTTGGGGAACCAAGCCAGCTTCGCAGCGACTCAAAGTTTGTGTCTCCCTGGATCCAGATATGGCAGCTCTTGCAGCGCTATACTTTACATGTGTACACTAAGTTCCACTGCGGCCCGCTTCAAACTTCTCTCAATTTGTTGGGATCCCAACCAGGTGGGTGCAGACGCAAATGTAGCACAGTGAGCTCAGCAACTGGACAAACAAAGTCAACAAAAAAACACTCTGGTCATGGGTTGGTGGTGGCGAGAGCCACCGTTTTGTTGGGGAGTTGCGCAAGCACGCGCGCGCCAGGGCAGGCGCGCCACGTCAAGCGGCGTCTGGGCACGCCACTCTACTCGGCCTCGTCCTTGCCCTTCTTGCCCTTGGTCTTGGGCAGCAGCACGCTGTGGATGTTGGGCAGCACGCCGCCAGACGCGATGGTCACGCCGCCCAGCAGCTTGGACAGCTCCTCGTCGTTGCGGATGGCCAGCTGGATGTGGCGGGGCACGATGCGGTTCTTCTTGTTGTCGCGGGCCGCGTTGCCTGACAGCTCCAGCACCTCAGCGGCGAGGTACTCGAGCACGGCGGCCAGGTAGACGGGTGCACCCGCGCCGACGCGGGTGGCGTACCGGCCCTTCTTCAGGAAGCGGGCGATACGGCCCACGGGGAACTGCAGCCCTGAGGGGTTGGAAAGGGTGGCAGAGGTGCGGGTGTCAGCAGGGAGTGGTTAGAGAGCATGCAGCGCATGGACAGAGAGAGCGGAAGCAGCAGAGCAGGACGCGCGCCCCTTGCCCAAGAGGTTTCCCATCGGTGCCAACCCCGGCGTGCAGTATAGAGTCCTCACCAGCCTTGGAGCTGCGAGAAACGGGCTTCTTGCCCGACTTGCCCTTGCCGCGGCCGGACATGATTGCTGCACTGGTTGTGTGAGTTGAAGTCGATGGGTGCAAAAGGAGCGCTGATTGTAGAGCTCGAGATTGCGATGTGGCAGCCAATAATCGCTGTCAGCTATATCCGTGGCGCCGGGCAGGGGGGCTCAGCTACGTGCTAGCTACTCAACTCAGGCTCCGAGTCCCAAGCTCGTAGCTGGTGGCAGCTGCTGTGCCCGCTGTTGCGGGTCATATACCGCGCAGTTTGCCTCATACGCCACAGCTCTCCACTCCCAAGCACATCTTCACTTCCAAGCTTTTCATCTCAGCAACCATGGCCCCCAAGGTCGGCGAGAAGGGTCCGGCAAAGAAGGGCCCGGCCAAGAAGGCCGCGGACGGCAAGGCCAAGAAGAAGAAGGTTTCCAAGGCGGAGACCTACAAGATTTACATCTACAGTGAGTGCCGCGCCTGCGCCTGGAGGGTGGTTCCCTGGCATCCGAGACCATTGCTGCACCAAGGGCGGCAACAACAGTGGCGCCATGGCGCGTGTGGTTGACGTGCTGCGTCTGCAAAGCTTGCTGCTGAATCATGTTGTGCTGTTCATCCTTTTGTGCTGCACAACCACGCCCTTGACCATGTGGTTGCCCTCCCTTTGCTCCAAACTT